ACACACACACATACACACATCACAAACACATGTCAAGAAGAAAATAAGGTCTGTGAAACTCACCCATCGCCGGCCTCTCTCCACAACAAGGCTGCTTCAACCCAGCTCTGCCTGCATCCCCTGGGTTATCTTGAATGAATGGCCTCACATCTCAGCGGCTGGGCTTACCCACTTCCCCAAGATTTTGTAAGAATTCCATGAGATGAAATGGTTTGCAAGCTGCCTGGCTCAAAACAGAGACAAACCTTGGCTGACTCTTAAGATTTTTGTGGTTGCCCCTGACCACGTAGCTCAGGCTGACCTCCAGCTTCCTAAGTAACCAAGGACAACCTTGAACTCCTGATCCTCCTGTCTCTACCTCCGTGGGATCCCATCTGGCTCAATTTGTACCGTTCTTTAAAAAAAAATGTGTAAAGCTACTTTTCAAGTTGTTTTCATTTTATCTGAAGGTTGTAACTTTGGTCTCCAGGATGACTGAGTTTAGGACAGGAAATGTTTGGTCCAAGGTCACCCGGGAGCAAAGGACCATCTCTGAGATTCAGACCAAGACCAAAGTTATACTCATCTGTTTTCTACCTCAAATTGGCCCATCCTGTACTCACTGGTTAATTCCAGAGGAAACAGCTACGTTCACAACTGTTGCCTAGCTCTCCAGCCCAGTCCTGGATACCTTCATCTCCCCTCTTTGCTTCCCAGCCTGATTCTTGTGTTTCCCATCTACTACGGTAGAAGCGGAGGGTACCAAGAAGAAAACTGTTGGTAAAACTCAAAATGCTTGTAAATTAATTGTGGTTCATTTAGAAGAAATCTTTGGCCCCGCTACTTGGGGAAAGAGAAAAAAAAAAGACCCTGAGAAGTTGAGCTTTGCCTTGATTTTTTTGGGGGGGTTGGGGAAGAAGGGAGAGCATTCCTGGGGTCTTTTTAAAAAGGCCCTCCCCTCATTTCCGGCCGCCGCTGCCAACCTTGGCTGGGCGCCTGGATCCTGTTGCTATGACAACAGGAAGAGGCGGTGGCGGCGGCAAGCCATGCTGGAGAGATGGAGGCTAGTGGGGGTGGGGGTGGTGGCTCTGAAATGGGGGTGGGGGTAGGGACCGGGGGTGGGGGGTGCAGGTGGGAGGGGGCAGAGGTGCCCTTCATCTCGGCCTTCCTCAGCGCTCCTGAGCTGGTCCCCCCCCGCCATAACCGATCTCTGTCTGTCTGTCTGTCTGTCTGTCTCTCTCTCTGCCTCTGTCTTCCTCTCCCCTGTCACTCTCTCCCTTGCCCCTCTCCCCAATTTCTTCCTCACCCCTTCCTCTGTTTCTTTCCTTCTCCATCCTTTCTGTCTCTCTCGCCATCTGCCTCTCCTCCCCCTCCCCTGGATGACTGTCTCTTACTCCTATTCCCTTCTGCTGCCCAGACCCCGGCCCCCTCTTCCTCTCTCTTCCCCCCACCCCCCACCCCTGCCTCCCCCTACCCTCTATTTCTCCCTCATCTCTTGCTGTTCTCTCTTTGCCTCTCGTCCTGCTTCGGTCCCCTTCTCTCTCTGGGTATTTCTCTCTCTGGGTGTGTGTGTCTCCTCAACTTCCTTCTGTTCCCAGTCACTGCCTCTCCCCAATTCTTGCCTCCCCCACCTCTGCTCTTAGTCTCTGGGTCTCTCTCTCTTCCGATTCTCCTTGTCTCTCTCCATCTCCTTCTCTCTCTCTCTCTCTCTCTCTCTCTCTCTCTCTCTCTCTCTCTCTCTCTCTCTCTCTGCTTCCTTCTGCCACTCAGACCCGGATCCCCAACCACTTCCCTCCCCCCACCCCTCCCTCTCCTCTCGGAGGCTCCCCCATCCCTCAGCAGCAGCTCCCCTCCCCCTCCCTCCCTCCCTCCTCCCTCCTTCTCTCCTCCAGCTCCGCACTTTACCCAGCGACACCAGAACCAAATTGTCTCCTCACCTTTTTTTTCTTTTTTTTAAAGCCCGACCCTCTCTCATCCTGACGGCCGGAGCCCCGGGCTACCCCCAGCTCCCCTCCCCCTCACTCTACACCCCCATTCTTCATACAGCCTCCTCATCTCCATCCCCTCTCAGCCAGGTCGGACGCCTGGGTCCCTTGCTGCTGGGGGAGGGGGAAGCAGCGAGAACTGGGAGCCCAGAGAGGTGTTTCTGGGGAGGTGTTGGCAGCAGGGGCCCGGACGTCCCTCCCCAGTGCACCGGAGAGTTGACCTGCCGTTAACTGAGGTGAGAGATCTCTTTCTTAATCGGAGGTGGGTGGGTGTGAAGGTTCTGTGAATCCCCCTGATTCTGAGGTGGGGGAAATGCCTAGTCTCTCAAACGAAGGACCGTGGCCCCCCTCTCCTACCCACAAGCTTTAAAATTTGGGGGGTCCCCTGTTCCTTTCTGCCTTGCAGATGGACTCAGTGAAGAGTCCCCAAAGCCAAACAGATTGTCTCTCAAATTGACAAAAATGAAAAGCTCTTAAAATCTTTATGGCTGGAGAAAGTCCCTGCTGGTCCCTTTTCCTCCTATCCCAGGCTGTAGGGCCCACGAGGCTTGGGAAAGACGGTGCATGCTGGGGTCAGAGCTCATGTCCGTGGAAGCAGCAATTTGTTAAGACAGTGGGGGGTGGCCGCTGTTGCAGCGGCGAGGGCAAGGGGTACCTGGCTTGCGCAGAGGCAGGAAAAGGGAGACTTCAGTCTGGGTCAGGGACCAGCCGGGAAAAGGGAAAAGCTGGGAATGGGCCCAGGAAGGGGCTGTGTGTGTGTGTGTGTGTGTGTGTGTGTGTGTGTGTGTGTGTATGTGTGTGTGTGTGTGTGTAGGCAGGAGCACACGTGTGGGGCACTAGGCCCCGTTGCCATGGAGACACCCCCCATAGACAACCTTTCTCAACAGCCCCTCCTGGGAGCAGACCCAGTCCAGGGCCAGCTGGTGGGGGCGGTGGAACCAGAGAGGAAACTGGGAAGCCAAGGTCACCCTGTACCGGGGACCCGGGGTTTCCAGTTGATGCCTTGATTATCCTCAGATCTTCCAGACTCCTTCTTACAGGGGGGAATTGGGAAAGAAGTCAGGGGAAGAGGTTGAAACAGGTGAGGGGAACACAGCCGGAGGTAGAGACATAATGGTTGGTAGGCAATCTCCCAGAAGGTAGCAATCAATGGGCAGGGAAGGGATTCTCCATAACCGAGAGTTGTAGTTTAGTAGCTTTCTTTCGTGTGTGTGTGTGTGTGTGTGTGTGTGTGTGTGTGTGTGTGTTTGGAGATCATGGGGGCTAAGTTTCAGCACAGGTGAAACTGTTATGGGAAGGGACTGGAGATGTTCCAGAGAAGTCTGCCGGGCCTGTGGAGGGGATTTTCCTCCGTGAAGTAGATGCTGGAAGCTGTGATGTGTGCAAGGGAAGAGGATTCTCTGTGATGCTAAAAAAAAAGTTAGGGATGGCAAGTTCTAATATGTTGAAGAGAGTGTGGGGTTCAGAGTCACCTGGGAAGATCTAGAATGGGGGGACCCCTTGCAGTGTAGACTACTCAGGCTGTGGTGAGGTGTCTCTGCCGAGGGCAAGAGCCAAGGGATGCTGGGCAGAATGGGCGGACGATTATATTTTCGGACAGGTTAGATATTAGAACATTCCTGAATGGGTGGAAGTTAGGGTCCAGAGGAAGCCACGGCTGTAAGCAGGAAACATTGTGAAGTTCGAAGAGCAAATGTTTCTTAATGGAGGAGGAAGTAACGGGAAGGACGAGTTTGTGAGCTGGAGGCAGAACAGAGGCCAGGTTCCAAATACTTCTTCAGCAAGACAGTTTGGAGTTTCCCGAGTCAAAGACCTAGCCGGCTACTAGGGTTGGCAGGGGGGTGGATGGGTGAGCCACTCGAGTGCAGGAGGGACCGTGAGAGCCCAAATGATGGAGGTAGGGGACATCATCTTCCAAATCTAGGGGATCTGGAAACTCCCCAGGGAGCTTTTCACAAATCCTAGGTGCTTGGACACTTCTCAGATTAACTTTCGATTTCTTGCGTGGGAGTCCAGCATTGGAATTTTTATTTAATCCTTTGCTGCTTTGAAGATGTGTCCAAGGTGGTAAGGGCAGTAAGGAGACTTGCGGTTCTATACAGAGAAAATGAAGTAAATATTAGGGCCGTTGAGCAGATGCCCTGCTCCTGTGAATAGTGAGGGTCACTTGGGAAGTTTTTTGGGGGGGATTTCTGTTTGTTTGTTTGTTTTTGTTTCTTGCTAAGGTGAGATTGAGGGATTTATTTTTCCTAAGTAGAGGGAATTATAGGAGAAACGCCGGGTGTCCCTCCCTGAGCGACAAGAACAAGAACTTTTGTGGAGGAAGGTATTCTGTCATGGAGGATAAACACACACACACACACACACACACACACACACACACACACCCCAAAATGTGGAATTTTTAGTGGATAATTTTTGTTTGCTTTTCATTAGATGGGGGTCTTAAGCAGCCCAGGCTGGCCTCCAACTTGCTATGTAGCCAAGGATGTCCTCGAACTGATGATCCTCCTGCCTCTACCTCCTGAGTGCTGGGATTGCAACCACATACCACCACGTCCCATTTATATTGGGATTGGGATCAAACCCAAGGTTTCATGCATGCTAGGCCAACACCTACCGACCACTCCCCTGCCTGAGTGGCTGGCTCCTAAATTGGAGAGATACCAGAGGCAAAACTGGAGACCTGTGGACGGGCTTTTTCTGAGCAGTGTGTGTGTGTGTGTTACTGTATGTGAGAAGTCAGGTAATGTGGGTCAGGGAGACTAAGGAGTGACCAGAGGCAGGAGCCTCCTTAGGAGGAAATAGCAGTGGAGTTTGAATCGAGGATTGACTTCACTAGAGGAGAGGATATAAGAGGGGAATTGAGGGGGCGCTGGGTCATGACCTCTGAGTATATGGGCTGACGACGGGCAATCTTTTGGTGGAATTTAGCAGGAAGGCGGTTTTAGGTTGAAAGAGGCCAGCTCACCGGAACTAACTTCCCCCTCTCTTGCCTCCACCAGCTGGAGACCATGGCTTCACTCTGACCTCCGCCTCCGCGGCCATCTGCTCGCTGTCCCCCGCCCCCCTCTGGCCCCTCGAGGCCCCCCTGCTTCTGCCTGTGTGGTGACCCCCCCCAGCCGCCGGCACGGCCCCACCTCCGCTGCCCCGGTGGTGGCCCACGGCCCCCCCGGCTGCCCGTGGTCAAACTGGAGTCATTGAAACGTTGGAATGAAGAGAGGGGTTTGTGGTGCGAAAAGGGCGTTCAGGTGCTGCTGACCACCGTCGGCGCCTTTGCGGCCTTTGGACTCATGACCATCGCCATCAGCACTGACTACTGGCTCTACACGCGAGCTCTCATCTGCAACACCACCAACCTCACCGCAGGTGACGATGGACCTCCCCACCGTGGGGGCAGCGGCTCCTCGGAGAAGAAGGACCCTGGGGGCCTGACACACTCAGGCCTCTGGAGGATATGCTGCTTGGAAGGTAGGGTGCCGGAAGGCCCTGGCTGGCCACCTCGCTGAAGCCTCTCTGCCTCCAGCAAACTGACGGCTAGTGTGTTCTGAGTCTCCATGTCAAGGTCTCCAGGGGTGTGCGTCCCCGCTGGGGGCGCTGATTTCGCGCATTCTTCTGTCCTCCCTCCCAACCCTCTTCTGGGCTTCTCTTTTTATTTTCAGTTGATATTTTATTGGATGATGTGTATGGAGGTTTTGCCTGCAGGTTCGGTTATGTGCCACGTGCACGCTTGGTGACCTTTGAGGTCTGAAGAGGGTGTTGGATCCTCCGGAACTGGAATTACAGACGGTTGTGAGCCGTGTGGAATTACCATATATGTATTTGTCTGTGGGTGTCAGGGTTTTGCACACGTGCATGGATTCAAGTACCCACGGGAAGCCTGGATAGGGCCTCTGACCCCCTGGAGTTAGAGTTATTATAAAGTTGTAAGCGTGGTGATACGGTTGCTGGGAACTGGGCTCTGGTCTTCTTGGCTGCTGAGCCAATTCTTCAGCCGCCTTGAAATGTGTCTTATCATGTCCATCCATGCATCCATGCATCCATCCATGCATCCATCCATCCATCCATCCATGCACACATGCATGCATCCATCCATGCATCTATCCATGCATCCATCCATGCACACATGCATGCATGCATCCATCCATCCATGCATCCATCCATCCGTAGCCAAGTATCCGTCTAGTGTGTGCAAGTTGCAGTGACTATGGAAGTCAAACTGCGCTGTGCGGGTCCCAGGGACGGGACCCTGGCTGTGTCCCCCTTGGCAGCAAGCCCCTTTCGCCCATGAGCCACCTCACCAGGCCTCCCCTTCTTGCCCCGTTCCCATCTCTTTCCTCTCCTGTTGACTCCGTAGGTTCCCAGAACGGAAACTCCCGGTCTCTCTTGCCCACTCTCCCTCATGTAGGTCTTCTTCTCCTCATCCGCAGCCCTTAGCTCCTCTCCCGACGGGGCTTCTCCCAAGCTCACATCCGGGTCCTTCCCAGTTCTCTCTCTGTTTCACGTCTCCAGGGCCTCGTGCCTTCTGCTGCGGACTCCCGGGACGCATCCTCTTCTCTGACCCCCCCCTCCCCCGCTACTCTCCACAACCCCTGAAGGTGTTTTCTTTTCTTTGTGCTCCGGTCAGGCTCAAACCTGTCTCCTTGCCACGCCCCCTTTGTCCAGGACACCCACTGTCTTCCTCTTCAGCGGCTTCCCTAGCTCACCCTCCGCGTCACTCATTCTTTCGCGCAAATTTCAGGTCTGTCTTTCATGCTTATAGAGGCACAGGGCTGGGAAGCAAGACTCTGGGTGCCTTACCATGTGATCCCTTTCCGGGCCTCCGGGCCCTCATCCGGGGCATAGAGGAGTGCACCTGCGACCTTGGAGCTCCTCCTGCAACGCCAAACTACAATACACTTTTTTCATCTGTCTTTTTTCTTTTTTCTTCCTGTCACCTGGACCTCTCTATCCGGTCAAGTCACTCACCTCGAGTGAAGAACGGGTGGGCTTTGAAGACTGGTCCATGGAGTGTCTCGTACTGGAAACCAAAGTCAGTCGCCGGTGTTTCAAAGCCGGGAGACTGACTGCTCCCTGAAGACCTGATGTCTGGCTTCCGGTGAGCTGTCACAGAAGATCTGACCTCAAGTTCAGAACTCACCCCCACCGGCCCGATTTGAGTAGCAGACACTTTTTCAGATGTCATAGTCACCTCTGCTCCCTCAACCCTCCTCTTCTCTGTTACTACAGCCCCCAAACCCCAGGGGGGACACATCACTCATGTCCACTCTTTAGTCTGACCAGGCGTGAAGTACAGAGCCAAATATGGGAGTTTGCACCAGAACCTTCCATGACAGTGTGTGCCATTCATTCATTCATTCATTCATTCATTCATTCTTTCCCTCACTCGTTTATCCATGCTTATCCATCCATCCTTTTTATTGGCTTTAAACTGTGAAGCAGGCCCTCCGCCCTTCAGTTTTTATGTGTGTATCGGTAGGGGTTGAATGCGCGTCTCAGTGTGCAGCCAGAGGTCAGAGGTGAGCTCGTGGGAGTCATTTCTCTCCTTCCACCAAGTAGGTTCGTGGAAGTGAATTTAGGCTTTCAGGCTTGGAAGCACGCCTCTCTAACCACTGAGCCATTTTCACGCTCTCTGGGTTCTTGTTGAGTCAAGAACAATGAGAGACAAAAACACAGACAAATATCTGACTTTACACATATCTTCTGCTCTGAGCTGGGTGATGGTGGTGGCGGCGCACGCCTTTCATTCCAGCTCTCGGGAGGCAGAGGCAGGCGGATCTCTGTGAGTTCAAGGCCAGCCTGGTCTACAAGAGCGAGTTCCAGGACTCCTAATGCTACACAGAGAGAAACCCTGTCTCAAAAAAGCATATCTATCTATCTATGTATCTATCTATCCATCCATCTATCTGTCTTCTGCTCTGGAAGGAGACAGAAAGACTAATGGAAGTGAATAGAGGAGAAGCAGAGACGGAGAGAGGAAGGCATTGATTGTCGCTCTGAGAGAAGTGAGGTTACAGATGCTTGGGGACGTGGACTGTGTTAACAGTAGTTGCAAAGCCCCTGAGGTGATCCTGAACCTGTGTCTGGCCTCCAGGGGGGAAGCCGGTGTGGCTGGGACACGGTGAGGAAGGGAGGAATGTTATGGCCAGAGAGATGATAGACTCTTGGTGTCACTCGGCTTTCGCTTGGAGATGGGAGTCATTGAATGTTCTCGAGAAGCCATGGGAGTTGGCTTGAGTTCTAACCGGATGGCGCTTGCGGCTGCTGCGTCGAGGGATGGGAAAGGGGAGGGTGGGAAGGGAGAGTGTGGGAGCCGTGGTTTGAATTCATAGTATATTCCAAAGCTCCCCGTGGGAAGGCATTGCTGGGGGAGCAACCGTGAGATCTGAGAAGGAGAGACTGGTGAGAGGGGTGTCTTGGAGGCGGGGTTTCTGAACCTCAGCCCTGGTGACATTTGGGGACTGAGAATTCGTCGTGGCGGGGGCTGAGCTGTGCTTCTCTCTTCTCTGTCTAGTCCCGCCCACCTCCCCCCCAACAGTTGTGACAACCGAAATTGTAAATTGTCTCCAGACATTATCTATGTTCCCCTGGGGGATTAAAAAAAAGAAAATCACCTCAGGTGAGAACTCCCGTGTGGTAAAGAAGCTTTGGCCAGAGCACTTGGTAACTGGGGATCTATCTGCTCATGAGATGGAAGTGCCGGCGCCTTGTTTAAATTCCTTGTGTTTTCCCTTACTTCTCTCATTATTAAAGAGAACTATCGCCAGCTCAGTCGTGAGTGCATCCGCTCGAGAATGCTTGCTAAGAAACCATACCTGTGATGGGGGAGGCGCCATGACTGACCGGCCTACAGCGTGCAGAACGGTACCCATGTGTGGCGCCCGTGGTCAGTGTTGCTGCTAAGAGCGGAAACACGCATTCTGCACCCAAGTGTGCCTGCCGTCAGCCGAGCGCCACTCATGCGCACGAATCTCGTGTCCTCTGCTTTGCTCTTCTCCTTCTCACCCCCTCCTCCTTCCCCGTCCTTCTGCCCTCCCTCCTCCTCCTCCCCCATTTCTGTCTCTCCTTCCTGTGAGATAGGGTCTCGTGTAGCCTAGGCTGGCTTCCAACTTGCTATGTAGCCGAGGCTGGACTTGATTTTTTTTTTCAAATAGGAAGTCTATGCAGTCTCTTTTAAATTTATTTTTATCATGTTATATTTATTTAGAGTGTGTGTGTGCAAGCAAGTGTGTGTGCGTGCGTGCATGTGTGCGTGTGTGTGTGCGCGCGTGTGTGTGCGTGACACACATCATGCCTTGGCTACAAAGGTTAAAGTCAGCAGATAACTCATGTCAGCTAATTTTCTCTTCTCCTACCATGTGAGTTCTAGGCCATCAGGTCATCAGATTCGACAGCAAGCATCTTTACCCAGTGAGCCGTTTCGTGGGCTCAGACACGATCCCCTTGTCTCTCTGTCTCTTCAGTGCTGGGATTACAGCGTGAGTCCCCATACCTAGCTTATTGATTTGCTTTTGAGACAGGACTATTGGATGCAGCTCAGGCTAGCCTTCAACTTACAGCAGAGTGTCGTCCCCCCGCAGCAGCCTAAGTACTGAGACCACAGGTATGAATCCTCCCCCCCATTGATTGAACCCAGAGCCTCATGCATGCTAAGAAGGCGCTCTGCCTCTTAGCTGTAACCTCCGCTTTCTTTTGATTTTGAGGCAAAGTCTCACTGAGTTTTTCGGGCTGGTCTTAAACTTGCAATCCTCTTGTCCCAGCCTCCCAAGCAGATACAATAAAAGGTCTACGTCAAAAGGTCCGGCTGAATTTCATGCCATTTTCAGGTACCAGGATGTAACTCTTCCTCCACACTTTCTCCATCCCTTACAAATCCAAGAAACCATTCTCAGTCGGCTTTGGTCTGTTTGCTATCCTGTTAGAGATGTGGTCTAGGAGGCTGGAGTGAGGGTCGCAGCCTGGCTGGGGATGTCCATGTGACAAGCATCAGTGCATGAGTGGACCAGAGTCACCTAAGAGGAAAAAAGAAGCAGCGCAACCAATGACCCAGTCCCTAAAGCCCTTGCTTTGCTAGCGCAAGGACCTGAGTTCAATTCCCAGAACCCACATGAAAAGCCACACGGAGTGGCAAATGCCTGCAGTCCCAGCACTGGGAAGGTAGCCACAAGAGCATCGCCTGGGGCTTGCTGGCCAACCTAGCCTCTAGTGAGAAGCCCTGACTCAGAGGAAGTAGTACTCCTTAGAATGACATTCAAACAAGCATAAGAAAGAGCTAACAAAAGGCAATTGAAGTCAGGCATGATGGCCGGTTCCTATGATCCTAGCACCCTGGAGGCAGGGTTTCCAAGGCAGGGTCCACGCTCCAATGGTCCTGGGTTACATAGCAAGACCTTGTCCTTGGGGGGGGGGCAGTCAAAGGGTGTCCTAATTTAATTTCTGTGGTTCTGTAGACCAGGCTGGCCTTGAACTCA